TTTTTATTAAGAATTTTATTTTTGGACGAGAGAAACAACTAATTGTATCATAGATTAATTTTTGGGTAATCAATTAAATAACATTGTTATTATTTTGTAATTATTGCATTACCATTTGCTAAATCCATAAGTGCAAAATATCATAGAATAATTTTTGGGTAGTCAATTAAAAAACATATTGTTATTATTTTGTAATCATTGAATTACCATTTGCTAAATCCATGAGTGCATCCAATGCAACGTCAAGGCCTGTTTCTGATGCGAGTTCTCCTTGAACTGGTTTGCCAAGTAGTTCTTCCACATCTTTAACAATCAAAGTCATAGATAATTGTAATAATTTTTCATTGATATAATTAATCACACACATATTTAATATTATATTATACTGATAACATTTAAAGAAAGAAAAAAACCAAAGAAATAATGTCGATCCTTTCATGACGAGCATTCAAATTACCAATCTAAGATATTATACTATGATAATAATCATAAATCATATCTATCCCCATCTCGTGGATCTGATAATTTATGTATCCTCATAACTATTACTCGTTATCTCTAACTGATAGGAATTCCCGATGGTTGGTCCACCTTCTCATAGTAACAATTTAATATTTCCTGGGAATATTCTGATCCTTTGTTCATTGATAATTTAACCAACACTATTAATTATATCGTTTAATCTTCTAGATTAAATATTCTCGACATCTATGATATAATTTAATTTACTTTTTCTTTTTCTTTTTTTTACTTTTTACTTTAACTTCCTAAAGGGACGAGTCAAAAAAAAAACAATGAAAAAAAAAATGTTGCTCTTAAAAAATTTATCTTCCTAAATGAGAAGAGGGGGTGGGCAAGACTTATTTAATATATAATTTAACTTACATCATTTTTATTGCAATATTTAAACTCCAGATTAATTTTTTGTATGCACAAAGTGCATAAATTTTTCTGAAAAAAAAACAAATGTTAGAATAAAAATAAACTATTCTCTAATAATTATTATTTTTTATGTTGAAGTGTAATATACGAAAAATAATTAAAAAAAATCGGTACGCGTATGAAATATTAGATAAACGTGAAAAGTAATTGAAAAATAAAAGAACAATCTTGCAAATAATATTAATTTTTGATGTT